TTTGTTTGAGAAGCAATTTTATCTCTTTGTTTGACAATCAGAGGTGCCTATTTTAATTAAGCAGTCAAGCTGCATTTGCTTATGTCTTTACATATTTATTCTACTTTATCATGTCTAGAACTCATAGTACTGTTAATCCTTGTGTATAATTACATAATGTGTAAAATTTACAGTTTTCCTGGTATTCTGACTTTTTATAATTTCTGTTGTTTTAAAGGTCATTAATCATAGTTTCTTGCTTTGGACAAAATGGGAAAATATAATCAATTGAATAATTCCTGGTTCATTTGCTCCATGAAGGGGATGCGCAGAGGCTCACAAAACCTGTTTATATATTGATTTATTAAACTGAGACATGATAATCTAAACCAGCACAAATCATAAGCAATGGCCAGTATCCAATATCCTTCCTCCATTAGTGCAATAATTAATGCTTGCACAATGGAACTCCCTCCCTTCCTTTCTACGTACCCCATTCCCTCTCTAAATCTGTTCCAGAGGTCTGAGGGAACCATCAGAACAGATTTAGGGGCTGTGTGGAGAGAGGAGACAGGGGAAATTTCCATTATGCAACCAGAAATCCTTACACTAACAGAATGAATGATGCAGAGCTATTTTGGATACGTGCCAATAATGTTAAACTGTAGCATATAGAGCAATATTAATGGCCTAGCAGCATCTGAGCCTGCTTGTTATTTTAGCTTATCAAGCTAAGCTACCTAAAGTCCCATTTCACATGAAAATTGGTTACTTGATAAATGCAATTTTCATTACAACAGGTATTATCAATAAGGCATCCAAGGTAATCCTTGAATGTAACACCCGTTAAAGAGCAAAAACTTACGAAGATCGCCATTTAATAATTATCACATAACAGCAGGTCTCATTTTGCTTGCAGCTAAGTTATCTCAATTTATTTTAAGAATTAAAAGAAGCATCTTGAACATAGTGATTTTGTGGAATTACATTTTCTCAGGAAGGAATCAGTAATATTTTTTGTATGGGGGGTATGGGGGGGCAATACACAGAACCAGCATGTTTCTCTGAGTCGTTAACTTGCTTTTCTCCATAGACTTTAGATTGACATCTATTGGCTTGGCTTGTGACACTGCAGCCAAGTTCTTTAAATATCAGTTCCATAGTCGCTGCTGTGTGAAGTTTCCCCAGGTGCACAGTAGTCTACATTTTAAAACAAAATAGTTATGTGTAGCTGTTCAGACACAGCTTTTGCCTAGGAATAAAGGTAACCATTCTCACTTATGAAATGTTGGAGCAAAAATTATTTAAAGTATTTGGTTCTTTCAATAATTCTAACGCTAACTCTGTGAGTTTGACTTTTCATAGTGGTTGCTTCTCATGGTGGTTACTAATGCTTCTATAGATTGCTGTAAATAATTTAAAACAGAGCTGAAGCTGAGCTAAAATGATCTACGGTACTTTCATTTTGTTTTTATTGCTATTGTCTAAAAAGCACCTTTTCCTATGTGTTTTCTTCAGGTTCATCAATCATATCCTCTATTTTTGTTCCCAAGCACTACTCTGGGAGAGCTGTGCCAAAGGGCTAACTGAAAGGATCTAGGAAGCTGTGAAATCTCTGTTTGAGTCCACCATAACCAAACTGGGGAAATGATTTATTTTTGCGTAACTGTTTAATGAAAGATTCTACCTCATAGATTTCAGCACAAAAATAGAAATTGTGTGCGTGTGTGTACATACACATCTATATCTATGATACAGCGGTAGTGGAACTGACTATACAATTTTTTTTCTACAACTGTGTAAATACAGTTAGCAGTATGGTAGGATCTTGATTGCTTTCTTTTTCCAGATGTCTTCAGTATAGAACTTTATACTACACAAAATTGGTTAAGGATTCTGTAAGTTGGCTTCCTGATCTTGGAAACAGGGCAGGGACATGGCCTATATCTGTAGGTGGAGTCATAAAATCATAGCCAGAATTCAGACTACTTTCCAAACTATGGTTTGATTGATTGCAAAATTAATACTGTGATCTCAGTTACTCCATGTTCTGTTCCACTGAATTATTATGGGGTTGTTTTGAGGTGGCCCCAATAGGGGTTTTTCATACTTCTGCAAACCTCGGAGTCACCCTGAGTTGGACAATACCTCCCTCTTATTTTCACTACATAAGCAGAGGCACTTGGAAAGCTTTGTCAGTATTAGAGCTAGAGCACTCTCAACCCTTACCAGTAATATTTGTGCCTTAAAAAAGAGAAAAGCACCTCTGTAGTTAGGCGGTACTTCATGTCATTCATGTTGCATTGTGAAGTGCTTCCATTTAGAATTCCATCCACTCTGTTCCATTCACCATCCCTCTCCAGGTTTGATTTCCTTCCACAAAAGCCAGTCAACGTTCTGAGCCCATCGAGTATGCTCAGTTCCATTTGTCCTGTTTTATTTTTGTTTCCGGCCATTTACATTTTGGGGGTTTGTGGGGAACAATGGCAGATGAACGTCAATCCCAGTGGCATTAAATTTCCACTGATGTTTATGTGTAGCTCTCTATTCCATTCCAGGAAACAAAAAAATAGCTTCTTAGAGTAAAGTAGAAAGTGACCTATCCAGATCCTTTTAACTGGATACCCTTTTTCCAAAGGAGGGGCAGACAGAGGCTACTACCACCTCCCCTCCACCAAAGATCTAGGTTTACCCAATGCCTAACAGCCTTACAAAGTTGTGACAATTGCTACAAGGTAGGCAAAAACCAGATGGCTGGTATCAGTTTGCCAAATGGGAAAATTCCTGCCCAGCCCTGAATATGGTGGCCGACTTGGTCCTTAGCAAGGTCAAAGTACAAGTAAAAGCAAACAGAATGAAGGAGGGTGGGCAGGAGATCCGACAAAAAAGGAAGGAAAGACTGCAGGGCAGGCTGCAATTTAACGACCCCTGGGAGTGGGCCCAAGCATCCCCATTGGCTGGTTTGGCCTGCTGCCAGGGGAACGTCCATCCAAGGGCGGCCAGCATTGGCCAATAGCCAGCAGCTGGGTGATCTGGCCTACCATTTGTTGGATTTCTTATGGGTTCAGGGCCTGGCCGCAACACTGCCCACCAATGAGGATGAGCGGACCTCCTGACACTTTCTTAAGCTTTTCTTAATCATTTGCTATGAAAAAATGAAGGGGTGTTTTATTACCCCAATCCACAAACATTGCTTTGGATAATAAACACACCCCAATAGCAAAAATCATTGCATTTCTGTGGCATTTTATACCAAAGGCAGTTTTCTGTTTCTAGCAGGAAAATTTTAAGTGTTAACTGGCTGAAATTTGGAGATGTTGTACAGGTGACAATATGTGAAAATATCCAACCTAGAAGGACAAGCTTAAAGGTCTGCTCAAGTGTAGATTGCACAATGAGAAGTACAGTGCATGGAAGTTAATGAGGAGTTCACATTTCCAATGGACATGCTGGCAGTGTATATGAAGTCACTTGAGTCACTTCCCTTATGTTTTGTATATACTTTTCTGAGGTGATGATTAACTGTCATGTTGGGAAAAAATAATATGACATATGGCTCCCTTGAGATATGAATGAATCTCCCCTGTCAAGGACAGGCATTTTGCCTTGCTGTAATGGAAAATGTGGAAGAAAGAAAAAATCGAGGAGGTGTAGGATTGGCCTTATGTAGTCAGCCCTTCCTTTGAGTCCTTGCAGGAGCACTCCTGCCTTCATGTGTGGCCAAGCTGGAGCTAAATGCCCTGATTAGGAGCCACCGGTGGCGGCCGTGGGGATATCCAGCTCCACCTGGTTGAGGCAGGCGCAAATAGTGCAGAGCAATGTGTCGAGGGGGAAGAGGATGATGGACAAAAACTGTTGGGGCATCCTATGGTTGGATTGAATGTTGTATGTGGGTGAAGGTCTGGTGGGGGTAATTGTTCCTTTGGGGTTAATTTCCCGGTGTAATAGGGTTTCCATTACTTTGCAAGAAGGTTTACTGTTTGAGGGTTTTTTTTGTTGCTGTTTGAGATGGTTTTCCTATTCTGTTCAAATAAAAATATCTTTTCCCTCATATATTGACTACAAAAGATACTTTTAAAAAACCCTGCAGAGTTAATTGGCAAAATACTTGCATCCCTACTTTTGTTCCACTTTGTCATATTCCATTATTAGTCTCAAATGACTGACATTGTATGGTACAAAAGGAACAGGGGATTCAGCCTTTCATTAGTCTCCTTTGTACCCAAGAACCTTATATTCCTGCATCTTGTTAATTACTACTGCTCAATGTACTTACAGCCTTCAAAACTGAATAACCTTGAGTTGTAATGTTAGTAATACGTAAACCTTTCAACATAACGTTGACAACCTGGATTGAGTTCACTAACAGGGTCTACATTTTTGAAGCTGTTCATTTTGACCATCAGTAACTGCAGCAAATCAACTGTAATCCTCAACACAGTGTGCTAAGACGTTTTGGTGTGATTTATGGCCAAAATTCTCCTTTGGTGGCTAGAAAAATAATTAACTTTCAGATGTGTCAGAGCTTCCTAGAGCTGGTGAATAAAGTTCTCTTGTCCTCCTCCCTTTTCTAATTTAAGAGTTGAAAATAACTGTATTGCAAGGTATATTACGACAGCTGATTGTCTGAATCTTAAGAGCTCATCATGACAGGCAATAGTTGATGAATGGGATATTTCAGATCCTTAAAGAAACAAGGAATATCACATAAGGAGGTATGATCTGAATGTGTCCATTAGCTAAGGCTGTTCCAGCCTAACAGCAATTATAAATAGAAACAGAACTTATGCAACGAAGACTGGCTGTCATTGCATCTCATGCAACAAAGTAAATAACTCCCAAATCCATAGAAGCAGATGGGATGAATTTGCATCTTGAGTCTCACCTTCCCCCAGCTTCATAAGCTTGGAAATCGATTTTGCCTGAGTCATAAAAAGAGCAATATCATTATCTCTGTACAAGTAACACAAGACTCTCTAGCACAAGCCGCTATGTGCAAAAATATTTTTTTTTGTTCTTTTAACTAACAAGACATATAAGAATTGAGATTTTTATGGGATGATGAAATCCCCAGTTAGGTTTTTTTTTTTTTAAAAAAAGAAAAACCTAAAGGTAGAATAGCAGACTCAAGCTGAATAACTAATGATCCAAACACATACCCCTGCCATACAAAGATTGCAGAACTGAAGTATAGCTCTAATTGGTAGTTAGTAAGCTGCACAGAATAAAATTTTAAAAGTGCACCAAGTATTACTAGATCCTGAATGACATATGGCATCAAGCCAATGAATCTTGCTTGTTAGTGGAGGACTATTTCATCAGTTTGAAAATCAACTCAAAATTCTGAGGTGAAGAAGGATACTCATTTAAGTTGGGAATGAGCTCTATAATACAGGCTTAGGTAAAGGTAAAGGGACCCCTGACCATTAGGTCCATTTGCAAATGACTCTGGGGTTGTGGCGCTCATCTCGCTTTATTAGCCGAGGGAGCTGGCGTACAGCTTCCGGGTCATGTGGCCAGCATGACTAAGCTGCTTCTGGCGAACCAGAGCAGCGCACGGAAACGCCGTTTACCTTCCCGCCGGAGTGGTACCTATTTATCTACTTGTACTTTGACGTGCTTTCAAACTGCTAGGTTGGCAGGAGCAGGGACCGAGCAACGGGAGCTCAGGCTTAGTTCCTTTCAACATCCAGAAACTATATCTACTTTATCATTATCGTTCTTATCAGAGATGCTGGAGAACAAGTAGCTCAGAATAAAAGCTTTGAGACAATTACTGTATTCAGTATATGCACCAACATAACGCAAGCTCTGTTGCATCCACAAAGCAAGGTTTTCATTTTCATTTAACCACAGTTCAGCATTACCTCTAAGCCCTAAACTGAGTAATGCTATCTGTGGATTATTGAGACAAGCATCTTTGTAAACTACCCTCTGAAGTTGGTTTGTTTTGGGAAACCAAAGTTAAGACCAAACACAGTTTGCTCAAGTTCAGTCATAATACTAAACTGAGTTTAGTTAAATGTGAAAGCAAACATTTCCTCTCTCTTCTTCATGTCTGCACCAGAAAATGGGGGGGGGGGGTGAATTGACACACTCAGAGCTCATTCACATAACAAGTGAAGTCACATTTATTGATCGTCCAAAACTGTAATCCTGCACAAAAGCTTCTCAACCTGCCCAACTATGTGCAATGTTTGTAAAGTGGGAAAACCAGTTAATACTCTTAATAATAGATGCGCTGTTGTCTAATAATTTTTGGAAAAAGAAAACCAGCATATACACACAGGTTCCACTTTCAAAACACAATGCATTCCTAGGAAATTGTTCATTCGATGAGCTGACGATTTCCATTGTCTCCTATGGAAATATTTCTAATCCATGATTTGTTCAATCTCCCTGGTTTCTGCCTGAAACTGCTGCAGCCAACCAGTAAAACACACACAAGGAAGTGGGCAAACTCTGGCTGTTCAGCTATCTGAATCAGTTGGATAGCTGAAATATCAGATAAGTGTCCTGATAGTGAAAGCTGTGTGTAGAAGTGCAGAGGGAAACTGTTTCATGATACTGGGTTTTATCCAATGGTGTTTGTCTTAGCAGAAAATGCTTCTACTTGCACAAGTTGGAGCACACTCTTCTTCTTCTTTGCCAGTTCCCCCCATACCTGCTGCAACCTTCTGCACCACATGCCATTGTGTTCTGGAGGGAATGAGAGCCCTAAATGGATTGGGGTTAGTAGGAAGGGGGGTTGAGATTCAGTAGAAATCGGGTAGTCCAACTCGTTTGTACAGAAGCATTTCCTGTTAAAGCAAATGTATACTTGATAACAACCCAACATTTATTTATTTTCTGCCCACAATATTCAGTATTGATATTGTACAGTATTGATATCATTAAATATGTGTCAAGTTTTAAATAGTATATATCCTCTCCATCAATTCAAAGAGATAAGATATAATTATAATTCAAGTATGTCGTTTCTAAGGACAACAGACTAAAAATTTACTTACAAGTGTTAAAACACAGATAAGAAAGCAGCAATAAGCAAAAAGATTAGATTTACATTTGAAGGAAATCCCATATAATATTATTGATATGTCAATCAATTTTATAAATATCATATTAGAAACAAGGATGAAATGTTTGTTTAGAGAACCATTGCTGCTAATTGTCCTATGTGAGACATTCAAGCAGAAACAAAGATGAAATCAAAACAATGCATGTAATATAAAAAGACAACATTTGGCACCAGTAAATTCAGTGTAAAACGTTTCCCACATCATCAGTCATGCAAAATTAAATCTCTGTAATTATTTTTTTCATAGAATATGCTTCAGTTACTAGCAGAATTGTTATCTCTCTTCTAAACTGTATTCATTTTAATCATCTTTGCTTATCACTTTTATTTTAAGAATAATTTCCTGATAACTAAAGTGCCTGAAATTCAGATTTCAACACCTTTTCTCATTTATACTATCCCTATCATTATATAAGGTGCCAAATACTTTGAAATCATGGAGTCTAGATTCCGTCACTTGCTTTATGAAATAAACCAAGATGCCAAACCCTCCCCTTGAAGGTACAGAAAATGAAGCGAGAACAGATATTGAATGGGCCTGCAGGACATGCTCTGCTGCTCACTAGTCACCAGGCCAATGTGAATGCCTATAAGACAATGGCTAGGTACAGAGGCTCTTAAAATTTTGCACAGATGAGCTAGTGCTGCGTTAGCTGCTTTCCCTCCAACCAGTGTTGGTTCTGGATTGGGGGGGGCAGGGCAAGGGGAGGGCTTCAGCAAGATGTTCTGTGTGGGTCCACCTTCTGCCAATTGCCACCAAGCCAATGCTGATTTGCTTGCCCTATCGCTGTGGGCCAAACGCATACCAATGTCCAGAAGGCAAGGAAAGTGAAAGTTGCTGATTCTTCACCTTGCTTTCATCACGGTTTGCATGCTTGGCATGGGCAAGTGAACAGGCAGCCATAGCAAGGATGAGTACTGACAAGTAGCACATGGGATAAGCAATTAGCCCTCTGCTGGTATGAGGGCCTCAGCAGGTGCCGGAGAAAGTAAGGCCATAACCATGGTAAGGTCATGACCTGCCTGCTCTCCCCCTGGCATGTTCCTGTCAAGTTTATGTCTTTACCTGCCTTTTAACCAATGCTGTCATTTGACTGGACAGATAGTGGGCCATCCACATCCAATATTGATGACGGCATAATTTGAGTGTATCCTTTGTTATCCCAACAATGTGGTTTGGTAGTCCCTCAGGGTCCCTCCTTCCTTCTCCAGGACACATTAAAGTAAGCTGAAACGCAACCCAATCACACTACTCTTTGAATTCTGGGGTCTGTATATTGCATTCAATATATTGTGGCCTGTATTTCCTGCCAACACCTTCACTCCCTGAGCATCAGCTCAGTCAATCAGCTCAGTCAATCTTCTGTCAAGAGTCTTTACTAAAAGCACTAAAACAGTTGGGGGAAAATGACTTGCAATTAAAAATTCCTGAAAAATGAATCATAACAGACATCTTTCTCTACCAATGTGGTTACATTATGGGGGTGCCACAGCAGATTAGGCCCTCTTTAATGCCAATACATAATTACTACACTGTGGCTTACCACTAGCCAGTTACACTGCTTAGCATCTTATGAACATGCTAATTTTATAACCAATTATACATTGCCTCAAAACATTAGTTCAGAAGAACTCTCACAAGCAATGCATCACCACCAGGCTCTCTGTTTATTGTTCCACTGTATACATGGCAACAATTCCATGAATACTTAGGTTTGATGATATTATACAACAACATCTTAATTTCTGATATGAATGAATTTATCCAAGCAGCAGGGTACTTGTAGGCTACAAGTGCAATTTTCAAAAAAGAAGCCTAATGTGCATTTATCTGCAACCTTTTCTTTGGCAAAAAGTAAAATAAAATTGCACGATCTCGCTTTAGCTAATATGGCGACTGGTATCTTGTGGCTGGCATCTTAATGAAGAGTGCTTCAGGCCCTTCGCTGGAATTCTTTTGCAGTCAATCTCTCTTCCCCTGAAGACTCAGCAAGGCATTTTGAGGCAGCTAGACTGGAAGATATTGCCACTATCCAGAGAGATACACTTTATCATTGGAATAAGTGAATGAGCAATCTAAAAGGTTACAGCTGCCACTCTGAAATTACTTTATGATAGGAAATCCCACAAAGTCTGCCAGGCTACTTCTGAATAAGAGGTTTCAGGATTATAGCCTATTATGTTTTCCTGCTTACTCAAAAATGATTCTCTTCTCAGTTACTTCACTTCTGTGCCATATGTCAAGGTCAATAGAGTCATATAAACCCATGTCAAATTGTGAAACTAGGATCAATGGCCCTCATAATGGTAAAAGATCTCTTAGGATATTATAGAGTAATACAGACAATAACCCCAAACCAATAAATCGGATAGCTGTATACTATGATTTTGATCAAAATTAAGTTGGAGCTTTTTATTAGAATACTGGCAGTTTGAGGCAGAGAAAGAAAGAGGCAGAACCATCTATGGGTGAAACAATTCTTCTTACTTGAAATTAATGCACTTCAAAGTAAGCATAAAACACACACACATGCACACAATAATCCAAACAAGACCTTCTATATTTTTGTTATAAAGTGGTACTGGGGACAAATGGCTTTGCCCTTTCACTACCCATTCGTCTTAACATATTTTCACATTTTCTTAGGACTTCCTCACATCTCCCGCTCCCACCTTCATCATTATAACATTTTGTCAGCAATTTATCATCTTATTTAAATTCTTATATCTCTTCGATATTTCATAATCTTAAAGTTCTCATAAAGAGTTAAACTTTCACAATTTTTCTTGTTTCCTTAAAAATTTCTAAGTTAAGTGGTGCTCAGTTATTTAGTCCAGCATCTTATTCAGCATTCAATCAAATCACAATGTTTTTGTAGGTAGTTCTTAAATTTCTTCCAATCCTCCTCGATTCTCTCTTCTCCCAGGTCACGGATTCTGCCAGTCATTTCAGCCAGTTGCATATAGTCTATCAGTTGCATCTGCCATTCTTCCAGTGTGGGTAGATCTTGGGTTTTCCAATGTTTTGCAAGTAGTATCCTTGCTGCTGTTGTTGCGTACATAAAAATGTCTGGTCCTTCTTTGCCACCCCTTGGCTGACAATACCCAAAAGGAAAGCCTCTGGTTTCTTAGTGAAAGTATATTTAAATACCTTTTTCAATTCATTGTAAATCATTTCCCAGAACGCCTTCACTTTAGGGCATGTCCACCAGAGGTGAAAGAACGTTCCTTCACACTCTTTGCATTTCCAGCACTTGTTATCAGACAGGTGGTAAATTTTTGCGAGTTTGACTGGGGTCATATACCATCTATAAATCATTTTCATTACATTTTCTTTCAAAGCATTACATGCAGTAAATTTCAATCCATTACTCCACAGCCTTTCCCAGTCCTCAAACATAATATTGTACCCAATGTCCTGTGCCCACCTTATCATAGCCGATTTAACCATTTCATCTTGTGTATTCCATTCCAACAGCAAGTTATACATCCTTGAAAGTATCTTAGTCTTTGGTTCTAACAATTCTGTTTCTAATTTCGATTTCTCCACCTGGAACCCTAGTTTCTTATCACTTTTAAAAACTTCTTTAATCTGAGCATAGTGTAACCAATCTCGCACTTTGTCTTTCATTTTCTCCAAGCTCTGCAATTTCCAATTGTCTCCATCTTTTCTAGTATTTCCCAATATTTTGGCCATTTGGCCTCCATATTGGGTCTTTTCGGGCCTTAGCTTCCAAAGGTGAAAGCCACCTTGGTGTTTTATTTTCCAGCAAGTCTTTATATTTTGTCCAGACATTAAACAGTGATTTTCTAACAATATGGTTCTTAAAGGCCTTATTTGCTTTAACTTTGTCATACCATAAATATGCATGCCATCCAAAAACATTGTTAAACCCCTCCAAATCTAACACATCAGTGTCTTCAAGAAGTAGCCAGTCTTTTAGCCAGCAGAACGCTGCGGCTTCATAGTACAACTTTAAGTCCGGCAGGGCAAAGCCCCTCTTTGTTTTGCATCGGTTAGTATCTTAAACTTAATTCTGGGCTTTTGCCCTGCCAGACAAACTTCGAAATATCTCTCTGCCACTTCTGAAAGCACCCCATTTTGTCCAATACCTGCAGTGTTTGAAATAAAAACAACATTCTTGGCAATACATTCATCTTAATCGCAGCAATTCGGCCTAACAAAGAAAGTTTCAATTTTGACCAACTGTCTAAGTCTCTCTTAATTTCTGTCCAACATTTTTCATAATTATCCTTAAATAGACTTAGATTTTTTGCTGTTATGTTTACCCCTAGGTATTTTACTTTTTTAACCACATTAAGTTCCGTCTCATTCTGAAACCGTTCTGACTCTGTCTCAGTCAGATTTTTCCCCAAAACCTTAGTTTTCTGTTTGTTTAATTTAAATCCCGCCACCCGACCAAAGTCATTAATCAATTGTAATACTCTTTTCGTACTAGGCTCTGGCTTCTGCAAGGTCAAAACCAGGTCATCTGCAAAAGCTTTTAATTTATATTGTTTCTGACCAACCTGAATTCCTTCCACCAGCTGGTCCCTCTGATCATGTTCAATAGCACCTCCAGGACCGAGATAAATAACAAAGGGGAAATAGGGCAACCTTGTCGTGTCCCTTTTTCAATTTTGAACTCTTCTGTAACCACATTATTAACTATCAGTTTTGCTTTCTGTTCTGAATATATCGCCTCAATCCCATTCTCAAAACCCCGTCCCACTCCCATCTCTTTTAAGTTTCCCATCATAAATTTCCAAGAAATGTTATCAAAGGCCTTCTCCGCATCTATAAAAATTAAAACAGCTTTTGTATTTATGTCAGTTTGGAGAAGTTCCAAAATATCAATAATGTTCCTTGTGTTAGCAAACAAATGTCTACCTGGGAGAAAACCGGCCTGGTCCTTATGAATTACTTCATTTAAAACTTTTTAAATCTACTTGCCAAAATATCTGCAAATATTTTGTAATCCACATTTAAAAGGGAGATGGGACGGTAGTTCTTCAGTTGTGTCTTTTCAGTTTCTAACTTTGGTATCAATGTGATAAACGCTTCCTTCCACGAATCCGGTGCCCTCTTCCCCTCCATAATTTCATTGCTAACCTCCATCAAAGGTTGTATCAAATAGTCTTTTAGTGTCTTGTAATACTTGGAGGTCAGCCCGTCTGGCCCTGGAGATTTGCCAAGTTGCATGTTCTGAATAGCTTGTTCAATCTCCTGTCGTGTTATTTTAGAGTTCAGG